GTGGTCTAGTTTGGAAGATGACTCATTTTTCTAGTTATTTAAAGGGCTTCTATCTACAGCCTTAGTTGTAAGGGATTTGGTTCGCGTAACTACTCTGATACCATTTGTGATATCCCAAATGCTAATTAAGGCAATAAGGGTGCCATATACAGAAACCGATTATGAGTGCTTAATAGATATATAACTGAGGACAAAAGTGGCAACATAATACAAAATAACAAAATAACAAAACACAAAAAGGGCCACTTCGTTCACTATGTGAATGGACTCATCAAAGTATGGGACAAGTCATGCACTCAAGGTTTGTGGCTCCATAGGATCCTCATAGACTTCAAGGGGTAGGTCAATAATTGGTTCCTCACTATCTTCCTCATTTGGGGAGAGCATGGAAAGGGTGAGTTCTATATACTCAGTAAATAAAATAATATTTAAATAACATCATAAGATTTTAAAAGTAAATTATTATGTCATCAACACTTACCATCAAGGTTCACGCCAAGGTTCTTTTCTTAATTTATGAAAATATTTTATTACTTTATAAAAACATCAGATCTATCATGTCATAGTCATAACAATCAAATCAATCATGTTGATAATAGAGAAAATCAAATAAATCATGAGATGCTCAAATGTTTATGTCATGTTTCGCGAAGTCGTTCCAACTTCCATCTATTGAGGGCAGATACAGATTTTTGACTACCTATGTAGAATGACCAGATAAGATATATAACGACAATTTGTCAACAATACATTTCCGACTTGCTAAACCATGACACAATTTATCACCACGGCCATACCAACCACAATGGTCCTATCAAAAGTCTATAGACACGGCGATACTTAGCCAAAGTTGACCCCTAACAGATAATTCGCATCACCACTCTCGTGAGAGGGTACACCGTCATCTACAGGGAACAATCCTCTCATGTCTTTGCAGACCAAATGGGGGAGGGAGAAAATAGAAATCCCTCAGAGATAAAAAGCCTAATGAAATATTTGATGCATTATGCATGTCAATATAGATTCATATTTTTCATGCCATTTTATACTTAATCTCCTTTTTTGCATTTTAGAAATTGATCACAAAAATTATATCATTTAAAATTACATGAAATCATCAAGTGCATAGAGGATCATATAACATGCTTTGTCAAGACATTTAACATAATCATACAAATCATAATTTCAAGCTTTATAAATTTTGACTCTAGAAATACTCCTTAAAAAAAGTAAATACTAAATTCCTTATCGAAACCTTGAAGTTTTCCTACACCTTTCTTCTTCTTCTCCTCTCCTTCTTTCTCTAGATCACTCTCTCTCTCTAAGCTCTTGGAGGATGGAAGAATGAAATGGAAGTGATGAAGAAATGGGAAGGGAGGGGTCCCAATTTATAGAAAATGAGGACCGTTAGATTTGAGCCAAGTGGCAAAATTTGTAGAAGAGAGAGAAAATTAACGAAAAAGGTTAGATGTGTCGATTGATGATGTGACCGATGGATAGACGACACGATGTGATATGGCATGAAAATTGAAGGCATGCCACTCAAACAACAGCAACATGTTGCCCAAGTGATGGCGGCACGCCACCCAAGCCAGCAGCGACATGCTGCTCAATCGACAGAGCTCACCACCCGATGGAGGTGCGCAGCACCCAAGGGGGTGGCACGCCCTGCCTGAGGCAACACATGCTGCCCCAGCTTACCACGCGCCGTAGGACTAGCCAGCCATGCACGCAGGACTATTGTGCACAGGCCTCCTCCGAGCAGGCCTACTGCGCGGGCAACAAGTTCACAGGTCACGTAGAGCTATGTTCCCATCTGCACGCGATGGGACGCGTGCGCATACTGCACCTTGTACCCCGCACGGATGGGATTTGCGCATAGTGCACACGTCCTGTGTTGGCCACGTGCACGCACACATATGCAATGCACAGGCTAGATTTTTTTCGCGAGCATTCCCACTGAAGTTTTTGGCTTTTCTCTGTTTTTCCTTGAAATTATTTTATTTAATTTCTAAAAAAAAATTTCCTATGAGATAATTAAAATAAATAATTTCAATAATCATTTAACTAAATAAATATAAAATTAAATTAGGAAATATTAAGGAGTTTAAATGGCCTTAGGGCCTGAATAGGTAGGGGTTTACATTATAAATTAAGCACGAAGGTTTTTGGGGTGTTACATTTCCCCCACCGTAGAAAATTTGATCCCCCATATTTGTCATGAATAGGTATGGGAACTTCTCTCACATCATGCTCTCCAACTCTCACGTCGCCTTTTCTAAAGTGTGGTGTTGCCACTACACCTTCACCATAGGAATTCTCTTGTTGCGCAAAACCTTGTCAGTCTAATCAAGGATTTTTGTGGGGAGTTCTTTGTATGTCATATCAGTTTGAACCTACATTTCCTTACGAGGAATGATGTGAGAAGGGTCAGTGGTACCTTTTGAGCATGGAGACGTGAAAAATATCATGTAGACCTGCAAGCTCTTAGGGTAGAGCAAGGCAATACGCCACGAGTCTAACATATTCCATGATCTAAAAAGTTCCCACATGATTGAGGCTTAACTTTTCAGTCTTTTCGAACTGCATTTTTTCCTTGTAAGGGAAGATTTTAAGGAAGACTTTATCACCAACTGCAAATTCCAAAGGTCTTTTATGGTTGTCGACGTAGGTTTTCTGGCAATTCTAGTTGGTGGTTAAGTTCCTTCGAATGATGGCACCATTTCTTCAAGGTAAAGACTATGGCTGCCAACTCCAGGTCGCGAATAAGGTAGTTACGCTCATGGAGCTTCAATTGTCGGGATCCATAAGTGACTACCCAACTGTGTTGTATCGAAACACAACCCAAACCCATATGAGATGCATCATAGTAAACCTGAAATCTTCTAATATTTTTGGAGAGGATCAACACTGGAACAGAGGTGAGATGATACTTCAAAAACTCAGTAAAAATTTCATCGCATTCATAATCCCAAATAAAAGGTTCACCTTTCTTGGTGAGGCTAGTCAATAGAGCATCAATCTTGGAGAACCCATCAATGAATTGCCAGTAATAGCTAGCGAAACCAAGGAAACTATGTACCTCAACAACATTGGTTGGCAGGTTCCAGTTAATCACTATTTCGACTTTGGATGGATCCACATAAACTCCTTCACCCAAAATCACATGGCCAAGGAAGGAGACTCGATCCAACCAAAAAGAGTACTTGTTAAACTTAGCATACAATTTATTCCAGTGAAGGGTCTTCAATACCTGAGACAAATGGACTGCACGTTCTTCCGGACTCGTAGAATACACTAGAATGTCATCAATGAACACAATGACATATTGATCTAGTGTATGTTGGAATACCATGTTCATAAGATCCATAAAGGCAGTAGGGGCATTAGTTAATCCAAAAGGACTAATCTTGAATTCATACAGACCAGCATTGGAAGGTGATTTTTAGAATATCTTCTTCTTTGACCCACAACTAATAGTATCCTGATCTAAGATTAATTTTTGATAAGATCATAGCTCCTTGTAACTGATCGAAGAGGTCATCAATACGAGGTAGAGGATACTTACTTTTCACTGTTACTTAGTTGAGCTCTCTGTAATCTATGCGTAGTCTGAGGGAACCGTCTTTCTTGTTTATAAATAACACTAGGGCACCCAAAAGGGAATGACTGAGGCAGATGAATTTTTGACCAAGAAGTTCAGAAAGCTAATTTTCTAATTTTGCGAGCTTAGTAGGACTCATGTGATAGGTAGGTTTTGAGATAGGTTGTGTTCCAAGAAGTAAATCAATAAAAAACTCTATCTCTTGTAGGAGAGGAAGACTAAGTAGATCTTCTAGAAAGACTTCCAGAAAGTTACAAATAGTAGGAATAGTGTATACAACAGGATCAACATCCATATTCCTATTTATTCAGAGGTTGGATAATAACAAAACTAGACTTTTATTTCATTTTTGGTGATCGCAAAGTTATAATTTTACTTTCATAGTTAATGATTGCCCTATATTTCTCTAACCAATCCACTCCTTAAATAACATCAAATCTTAAAAAATCTAAAAGTATTAGATTTACTAATAGTTCTATTTCTAAAGCTTTTATCTTATAGTTTTTATACACACAATGAGCTTTTAATAAACCCCTAGAGGGAGTTTCTGTCGCTAACACTTCACCAAGAGGTCCAACCCTAATATCTAACTTACAAGCAAAAGCACAAGAAATAAAGGAGTGGGTAGCAATTGTGTCAATTAGAGCTCGAACGGAAATGTCGTGAATAGAAAGTATACCTAGGATAAGAGCCGGAGTGGTGAGGGCACCTGGTTCATCAAGGTGGTATACACGATCCTGATCTACTAGTCTAGCCATGTTCTTTGGTCGTTGGGGACAGTCTTTCACAAAGTGCTGAGTGCTTCCGCACTAATAGCAGGTGTTGTTCAAACGCCAACAAGGTTGATCACTATGCAAGCGTCCACAATGTTGACATAATTAGGTAGGTCAGGCAGGGTGTCCAGTAGGTGGAGGCAAAACAGGGGAAGGGGCAACACAGGGTCATTTATCAAGATCACTACTAGCTTAACAAACTCTGTTATATTATGAGAGATAGATCTTTCAGCTGATTGATAGTATGGGGCAAGGGTTAGCTTGATTTTGTCCTATGGCTGCGGTTAGTCCCTGGATAGCTCGGAAGAGTTTGGTAAACTCAGTCCTGATCAGATTGTCCTGGGCCTCGGGTCTTTCGATAAGTTCTATAGAAGGTCTCCCTCGTATCATTCCTACAAAAGATAAGGAAGACACGAGTTGGTGGTCTAGTTTTTTGAAAGATAACTCATTTCCTAAATATCTTAAAAGGTTTTCTACCTACAGCCTCAGTTGTAAGGGATTTGGTCTGCGTAACTGCTTTGACACCATATGTGACATTCCAAATACTAATTACGGTAAAAGAGTGCAAGATACAGAAATAGATTACGAGTGCATAATAGTTAATTGTATGCAACAAAACAATTTATTACAAAACCCTTACGAAATATATGAGTTCTAATTACACATATAACTGAGATCAGAAGTGGCAACAAAATACAAAATATCAAAATACAAAAAGGGACACTTCTTTCACTATGTCAAAGGACTCATTAAAGTACAGGTAAAGTTATGCACTCAAGGTTTGTGGATCCATGAGATCCTCAAAGATTTCAAGGGATAGGTCAGCGGTGGGTTCCTCACTATCTTCCTTATCTTGAGGGAGGCATGGAAAGAGGTGAGTTCCTATATTAAGTAAGAAAAATAGTATTTAAGTAACATTATAAAATTTTAAAGTGAGTAATTACGTCATCAAATACTTACCATCAGGAGTCTCATCAAGGACTTTTCTTAAATTATGAAAACAATTTGTTTATTTATGAAAACATCAAATCTATCATGTCATGGTCATATCAATCAAATCAATCATGTTGATAATAGAAAAAATCAAATAAATCATAATATGCATAGTTTTTCGTGTCATTTCTTCGTGAAATCATTCTGACTTCCATCTACTGAATGTAGATACAAATTTTTGACTACCCATGTGGAATGACCAGTTCAGATATAACAGCAATTTGCAGCTTGCTAAACCAGTAGCACTTTTACGATTGGTCAAACTATGACACGATCTATGACCACGGCTGTGCCAACCACATTGGTCCTATTAAAAAAACTATGGTCACGGTCGTACATCACCAAAGGTGACCCTTATAGAAATATCACGTCACCAGTCTCATCAAAGGGTACCTGTCATCCATAGGGAGTAGTCCTCTCATTTCTTTTCAAACTAGATGAGGGAGAAATAGAAACCCCTCAGAGATAGAAAGCCTAACGAAACACTTTATGAATTATGCATGTCAATACAAATACACATTTATCATACCATTTCATGCTTAATCACTTTCTCACATTTTAGTAATTGATGTCAAGAATTATATCATTTAAATTATCTGCAAATTATCAAGTTCATATATGATCATATAACATGCATTATTGAGTAAAATTCACTTTGTTTAGATATTTAAACATAATCATGCAAATCATAAATTCAAGCTTCATAATTTGACTCTAGAAATGCTCCTTATGATGTTTAAAAGTAAGTACTAAATTTTTTACCAAAACCTTGAAGTTTCCTACACCTTTTCTTTTTCTTCTCATCTCCCTCTCTCTAGATCACTCCCTCTCTCTCTCTAAGCTCTTAGAGGATGGAAGAATGGAATGAAAGTGATGAGAAAATGGTGAAGGGAGAGTCCCTATTTATAAAAAATGAGACCGTTGAATTTGCATTGAGTGGTAAAATTTGGTGAGGAGAGAGAAAGTTAATAGGAAATGAAGTGATGTGATGACTAACGGATGTGACTGACGGATGTGACCGACGGACGGATGACACAACATGATGGTGGTATAAAAAATAGATGCAGGCCACCCAATGATGGTGGCATGTTGCCAAAATAAAAATGGCACACTGCTCAAGTCGGCAGTTACTACCCAACTGATTGCGCACACTACCCAAGGCACCATATGGCGTTGAAGGGGGAGATGCATACTGTCTGAAGCAGTAGCTCGCTGCACCAGTTTATCGTGCCCTGTAGGCCTAGCTTGCTAATGCACCGACCTAGCCTACCACGCGCAGGCCTAGCTTGTGAGCAAGATACTCCTCACAATGCATTGCGGGCAAGCCTACTACGCGTAGGCTAGTTGCACGGATGGTGCATGCGTAGGGCGCATAGAGCTTTCTGTGTGCGATGGGACATGCGCACAGACCAAACCTCACGCCCCACATGGATTAGACATGATGCGACCCCAGGAGGGCATTCCAGTTACCCAGGAGGCAACCATCAAATTTTGTGCTAATACAGAAGCAAGGCTGAGAAAAGGCTCAATCCCATAAAGCCCAAGGATCCAGTTCATGTAAGCCTAGATCAGGTAAGATAGATCATCGATTCCATCAAGACTTGGAAGCCTTATGGGTCGTTGAGACAACTGGCCCAAAGACATTCAATGATGATGAGTGGTGGGCTTTCAGATTGATCTTAGAAGACGACGGTGGCAAGTCTGAGACGTCACACAGAGGGGAGATACCTACAGGTGGGCGACCCGAGTCACCTAGCCTGCTAGGCCCAGACTGCAACCTAGCAGGTCGCGCGTCCGAGAAAAACGTGCGGCCCATGATGCATGCCCCGCGGATGGCCCAACCAATGCCCATTGGGTAGATCTAAAGATTTGCCCTCACCTTAAGGCCTGATCTAGCGGACCCGCACTGAGAGATAAGGAACTGGGCCGAATGCCCGACCCAGCAGCCTAGCCTAGTAGCAGTCGCGAGCCCAACCGAGCAGGAACTTGTGCGGGCCGCAGACCCGTGAGTCCCAAAGGCCACACATAGGCAGGCCTGGCCCAAGCTGCGTGCACGTGTGGGCTCTCCTAGCCCATATGGATGAGGTTGAGATGTGGTGAGTGTTTTTGGATTTATTTTAAATGGTTGTCCGTGCAATTTTTTTCAGCCCAAAATTTTCAAAAATGCACATGGTAATTATCCCTTTAATATTTTATTATTAT